GTTGTACAAAACTTATAAAAACTTTAAACCAAAACGCATGTAGGTACCACCTTTCAAAGCGGCCCAGCCTCATAGAGCTGGGCTGCCTCAACATACTGCTTCATCTTCGCAAGGACTTGCGCACATTCACGACACACGACTGGATCATTGAGCTCCAAGGCGATCTGCATGCCTCGTGGCAGGTCGCCCATGCGAATGGAGCAACGGGCAATGCCAGCCTTACAAAGAGCTTCATGCTCGGGCCGTGTGCCAGGCACGTGGTCACGCATGGCCATCTCATAATGGCTCAGGGCCTGTTCGTTTTGGTTACGTCCTTCGATTTGCATGGCGCTCTTCAAATAGATGTCCCCCAAGCGGTGCGGAGCCAAGGTTTGTGCAAGCTGAAGTGCCTGATCCCATTCTAGGAAGTCACAGTGCATGTCCAGTGCGGTCTCCGGAGAACAACTTTGCAAGAAGTACTCCTTGGCCTTGGCAAAGTTCCCAAAGAGCGCGGAGACATGGCCACTAAGCAGCAACTTGTCCTCCACCGTCTGAATCTTGTCCAGGTACATCACCATGCCGGCAGCCGGTGCTTGTCTGTATGCCTTTTTGGCCCAGCCAACGTCCAAGCATTCCAAACACCTTCGACCCATTGCCAGCCACAGTTCCTTGGGGTGCACCGGGAGCCAGTGCATGTTATGTGGCATCTGCTAGATCTAAAAAACAAAACACAACATCAACATACACTTTCACAAAAAAAGGAAACATACTACAATTGAACTGCAGGCTCTCTTGCACCCAATGCCAAACCAATCTTGAAAGCCAGCGGAAAGCGGTTCAAGGCCAAGGCTTGCAGCATACAGCCCTTTTGTCGTTCCACTGCATCGGCCACATGCGCATTGCTGGTCATGTCATGTGACTTCAACCTTTGTGTGGACAAACCACCACTGGCTTGTTGACATGTCACCACACCATCCACCACAAGGACCGCCACCTGGCCATGCTGGAGTGGGCTTGGAGATGGCTCAATCCGGAGTTCCCACTGCAGACCTAGTTCTACATCTCCAAGGCAGCGCACCCCGCTACCACCCACTTCCACTTGACTGTAGACAAAGGTGTGCAAATTGAATTGGTCACAGGCCACAAAGATTGTAGAATCAGAGCTATCCCACAAAATGCGATCTGCTGTCACCGGAAAGTCGGCTATCTGGATGCAATCATCATTGATGGGGTTGTATAACCACGCTGTGCCCGATGTGTCAATCAACGCTACACGTGTTCCTTCGTGATTTGGGAAGCACTTCCGAATGCCATTGGAGTGTTTGTACTCATTGACCTCCTGGCCATCGATCAACGAATAGTACTGCAAACGCCCATTGGAGTGCGCATAAATCAAGAAGTTCCCCACAATCGAGGCACAAGTGATGCTCTTATCATCGTCCTTGCGGGGAAAAATGGTGGTCTTCCCATCTCCTCTCTCAATCTGGTGCAGGTACACACGGCCATCGATCAGTACACAGGCGTGGGTGCCGTTGAGGCTCACACTCTCAACACTTCCAATGTACTCCTGCTCATTCACACAAGAAGCGCTGGCTTGGTCAGCACATGAGTAGAACCAAATGCGGTTGTTCATTCCTGTGGCCAAATGGGAGGGCCCTAATGCTACAAAGGCAGGCTCAAGGTCAGTGTTGATACAAACCTTGTTGTCACTCTCGTTGGTACCTTCGATGATGGTCATCTCACGCAAGGAGGTCAAGTAGGCCAATCGGGTATTGCAGGTGGCCGACAGCACTTGTAGCTTGGCCAGGTAGCAATACACACAGCCTGCCTCTGTGGCAAAGGATAAAAGCTCTCCATCCTCAGACCAATGCATCTGTGTGACCTTGGCTTCAGGGCGGATTTGGATCTTCTCATTCCGGATCTCGGACCAATCCTTCATGCTAATGATTTTGATCCCATCGTCTCCGGCTGAGGCAATCTTCCCCGCGGCCTTGCTACAACACAAACAATCCAAGCTATTTCGGTGATACTTGACACTGGAAAGCTCCTCCGACATCTCTCTCATCTGCGAGCTAATGATGACAATGTAGCCTTGAGAAAAGCCCACCACCAGGTATCCATCACCAAACCACGCATAGGACTTGATCGTGCCATACTTGGGTTGGAAGGCCAGTTCCGTGGGTTTCTGTGGCTCTCGGAGGTTGCATAGAAGCAACGTCACATCTCCTAGCACAATACTCACCACCTTTTCCCGGGGGTGCTCCTTGGGGTTGTCACCCTTGATGTCTGCGAACTGCATCTGGCTGGGATCATTCTTCAATCTCAGCGGCTCCGCATCCGTGCCCTCCAAGGCATCCCCGTCCTCATTGCTGAGGCACACCGTCCGGTCTTCCGAACCCGTTGCGAAGAGGTTCTCCGCATGCCATGCACCCGAGGAAATTCTCTTCGAGTGCTTCCCCATGATGGTCTGCTTCTTCATGGTCCTTCATGGGTCAAGGGTTGGATCGAAATCAAACACAGCAAACTCGGGACCAACCGCGAAAACACTTCAGCCAAACCTTGAATCCCGTTTTTCACCCTTCGGCCGCCGGCCTCTTGTTGTAAATGATGAGGTTCCCTCGCGCAGTGCCGATCACAAGCTGTGGCCCTGTCTTGGACCAGGACAGCCAGGTGGGGTCCTTTGAGCTCATCTCTAGCATGTCCAGCTTGTTTTCAGCATGGCGCCATAGCATCACTGTCTCCTCCTTCTGCTGCAGGATGGCCAAAATCTCTCCATCCTTGTCCCATTCTAACTGCACCACTTTGGCCGTCGACTTCAGCGAGACCTCCTCTACTTGCATCCCCCGCCGGTCAAAGAGGAAGAGATTCCTAGAGCCTTCCCCAATGGAAGCCACATAGTTGCCACTCGGCTGCCATGCAAAGAGGACATTGCTATGGCCATGGTACTGTGGCCCAAGGCTGAAGAGCTTCTTCATCTCTAACCCGGGCTCTGATGCAGGATTTGATTCTACAATGGCCAGGGCCGGTATTTTTGCCTCATGTATATAAAGTCAAGCACCTCAAACTGCACAAATCACTGCAAAGAAACGACTCTCACAAATCGTGTTATGGCAAAACCTGTCTGCCAATTGCATGGCCTAGCTGGCCTAGCTGGTTGAATGGTCGCTCATCCCCACCTGTGCATCTTGAAGCTGAGCCACACGCTGCTTGGCCTTTCAAACGTCATGGGCACATGAGATTCACCCATGAGTTCCACTTGTCAATGACGTGAACAAGCTGCCATCGACTCAAAAAAAAAACAGCGGCCCGATGAAAAAAGGCCTGGATTCTTGGATGTGGTTGTGTGCCCTATGTTCATAGATGATACCCCGTGGGTGAAGGAACGTCTCCCACCTGCTCTAAAGCCTTCTCGCACTCCTGTGCATCACGCAGTCATGCCTCCCCTAACTAACACATGCAACAAAGTCCAAACTTAGGTGATTAACCATTGAAGCCATTAGAAACGATTCATCTTCGCTTCGTTGCGGTCTCCTCCTTCATCTTCGCCTGTTCAGGGCCGCAGGCATCTAGCTCCTGCCGACTGCAAGTTGCGGTGCCCATAAGGTGCCCAAGTGGTGCAAAACAGCGAGTATGATGTGTAACAAGTTTCCAATGTCACACCCATAGCACTTGCATACGCTGCTGTATGGCAGTCCGTCAACATGGTGGTCCAAAGGTTTCAAGGGGCTCGTCATCCACCACAAATTAAGAGCGTGATTTGAGTCTGATCCTGTCGAACATGCTACCATGGTTCCTTGGCCATGACCTCTCTCAGCTCTGTCTCCAACTGCTCGAGATTGTCGACCCTCACATGCTTGAGCTTGCTCATCGCGTGGCGGATTTGCTTTAAGGCCCGGTTCACCTGTGGCATGGAAAGTGTCGGCAGCTCGAGATAAGAAGAACATAGAAGAACGAAAATGCGAACGGCTACTTGCTTGCAAGATGCCAGCGGTTCCTATGGGCCAGTTCTGATGTTCATAAACAAAAAAACTGTTCTGGTTCGGGGGTGATTCTGGCATGTGAAGCAGCTTTCACCCAATATAGCTCAGTCAATTCTTGGGTGCTATCCACGACCCATCTTCTACTCATTCTATCCATCTTCTATCAACAACCCTTCGGAGTTGGACATCTCCCCCCGTTCCCACACCCCTGAAGGTCCTACAGGCCGAGTTAAGGGGATGTTTGGGTCTGCATGCGGATGTCCCGCTCCATGAATCCGGAAGGTGCTCAAGTTGGACCAACGGCTCTCCTCCAGGTTCGGTCTCGTTGTCCGCGCCTCCGCATGGCGCTTGGCATCCGCCTACAAAGGTTCGAAAGACTGCAAGACATGGGATGTGAAGGCTTGATAAGGCTTGCGCGATTCATGCAACACTCAAATTTACTATTCGATTGCCTCTGCCTTCAACCGCCGCTCATTCTCCGAGGCCTTCCTGGATCACATGTGGAGCATCTGTTTCGGTGGTGTTGATATGTTGGAGATAATTTGACAAAGGTGAAACGCTCATGCTGAAAAGAACGCTCCAATAAAACACGTTAAAACTACTCGGCACAAGATTCCCATGTTCCCTGCACCCTGGCAACACAGGATTGCTTTGGTGTAAAGCTCCACTCCTGTCCACTGAAATGTGAAATTGCGGATCCACTGGACCGTCATAGGGCACTTTCCAGCCACTCAATGGCGCCGTGGTCAGCCGGCCTTGGTTCTCAGGAGGTTGGCTTCAACTGAACTACTTGTGCCATTTGCCACTTCCAGTCCTTCTGGCTCCATCTCCTTCTTCTCCCAAGTAAGGCCCCTGCTGGAATTGAAAGCCCAAACCTGCTCAGCACCCACTTCAGGACCAAACCTCGGTTGCAATCTTGAGATTCCAGCACCCCTTGAAGCCATTCCATTCATCCAGAGCATACCCAGCCCCAGAAGAGAAAGGGACATCAATACGTTTCAAGCCCTCAAAGCCATGCTAGTCTGCTAGTCAGTCGAACCATCAGGTCACACCAACCTTTGGACAAAGCTGAAAGAGGAAACTCCAAAGACACCGATTGAAACCCCAAAAAGGCGAAAGGAGTTGAGATTCCTGCCACCATCCACAGAAGGTGGGGTTCTGCACATCATTCCAAAAGTAGATCAGCACGTCCACTCCGTCTTTGGTCTGACAGGAACGCTTCGGCGGTGACCGTCCCGTGGGAGCTGACCAGACCGGTGAAACCCGACCTGCTCCGTCTTCTTGTACACAGGCTTGCCTGAACATGCGCTTGCGCAGCACTCGTGGGCTCTCACCCGTTACTTTATCAGATTTGGAGGAGATCTCATTTGGAATTGCCATGTCAAACAAACAAACAAACAAAGAAAAAAAAGGATGCTACTAGGGGCTCCTGGCATCGCTACTAGGAACAAGGGCCTTACTACTAGGAACAAGAAGCTAGTAGAATGATTCATCTTGAAACTATATACAGTAGGTGGCTGGCAGATCAAGAGGTGGGATAGGTGGCAAGCACGAAGGATCGAAGACTGCCGAGCCGCCGTGATTCTCCCCATTGCGGATGAATGACCCGTTGACAATGGCGCCCACAACAGGGTGTGCACATCCCTGCACCTGGCACAAGCATGCTGTGTCATCTGTGTCCAAGGCTCAAGAACAACCACAGGCACAAAGAAAGGATGCGTTGGAATGGACAGGGCCCAACATATCATCTCACACACACACACGCACAAATAGGTGTGTATATATATATATAACTATATATATTCTATATATACACACACACTCACGCTCTCTCTCTCTCTCTCTCTCTCGCAGGATGATCGGCATCCAAAGTTGAGGATGGCGCTGTGATGTGAGTGTCTTGTCCAACTTCCACCTGTGGAGGCGGAAGCATTGGGGCAGCTGACCTCAAGAAGAATGAGACAGTAAATGTACATGTTTTTTTCAAAGTCTTTGGCTGGCTGAGATTGAAACGAGACTTGGCCGTTTGGGCTCTGAACAGAGACCTCCAAGCTGGGATCCACCTGTCAATGTGACAAGAGAAACCAGCTTCACAGGTCAAGTAGCATGGTAGCCCACCTGCCCTTCGAACGGGACCTTCCATCCACTCCTGAGGGCTTGCAGCAGCGTGCAATCAAGCCAGCCAGTTGGGGCCGTCAGAAAGTCTGGCTCTCGGACGCTTCCCCACCCTCATCCTTTTGGCCAAAACCTTCAGCACGCTTGGCCTTGTGCCAGGTACATCTCATCGCTGGGATGACACAAATTGTCCAGCTCCTCCAGATGGATTTCCTGCTCGAGGAAGACTACCAAGAGATTTCCAACACTTGCAGAGACCTACACAATTGCGACGGCAGACTGTGAGCAGCCGCAGTTGTAGCTGCTGCAGCCCTCAACTACAGCCCCCCACTCGCCCTGCTGGGAGTTCTGCCACGGCCATGGCTTCTGAGAGGCCACGGACATGGGAACTCCAAAAGGACGACTTCTCAGAGATGTGGTGCTCGTAGCAGCCGGAGCCTGGGTTCGGCTTCGGCTTCCAGGTTCAAGGGATAGAGAGCCAAGCTGTATCAAATGAACATTGGATGACACATTACAACCTAAAGGACCTTGGGCACCCAGCTGTAAACGAAGGAGACGTTGGAAAGCCTCACCAGATGGCTCAGCTCCTCGCGAGTCTTTCCAGCAAAGTCCTGGTGTGCGGCCATGGCCCGATGGCGGTCGTATAAATGTAAGGATCCTAAGAATACCGCTAGCTACACTTTCCAGAATATGTTTATGCTATGGGCACTATGCATGTGTAAGAATAAGAATTAGCTGGGCAACACGGGCCTCCGCATACTTCCTCTCTGCACCTGTGTAGCGTGGATGCTCTTCAAGGCCATCATAGCCATGCACGAGGTGCGAGAGCTGCCACGAATCGTATTGTGCAGCCACCATCAAGTATGGTGTCCTCGGGGAAAGCCGGAAAGGATCGACAAAGAAACAACAAGCTTCCCGCTTGCAATGTGTCCTCACCAGTGGCATTCGATGCTGCCCAAAGAGGCATTTCCAAAGCTCACCAGAGAACCTGGGGAAAACACCAAACTGGATGAAGCTGGAGGTCAACGATGGCGTAAAGGAGAAAGCTCCAACAGATTCACTGGTCAAAGTCTGAAATATAGATTCATCTTCCGCGGGACCAAATGGAAATGGGCAACAACTCAAGCGAAACCACACCCAACTCTCAAAGCGCTAGAGGTCGACACACAAGTGAAATGAGTGGACCAAGTCGCTTTGCCCGGCACGATTCTGACACTATAGAAGATGCATTGAAATTGGCCAAGACGTTCTCATGCTGCACTTGGAAGCCCTCGAATTTTGAGCTGAAGCTAGGCACGTCCTCGGGTCATGGAAAATGAAAAGTCCGTTTGCATGAAGAGGGTTTGTGGAGACTGCACATGCCCGCCCGTAGCTTTGTGCTGGCACAGTGTCCAAGTAGTATGGTGAGTCCAAGAAGCCGCGCACGTCAGTCTGTGGGAATCTGTCCCGCACCTCATCCAAAAAGACCATAGCACCCCGCGCTCCTGCAGAGCCGCCACCGAAGATCAGCCTCAGGGGGAACTGACACAGCCAAGCTATCCAGTTCCAACTAGTAACAAGAAGCTACTAGGGGCTCCTGGCATCGCTACTAGGAGCAAGGACGCTACTAGGGCTCCTGGCCTTACTACTAGGAGCAAGAAGCTACTAGGAGCAAAGGGCATATGGACAAAGATTATCCCTTGCCTCCTTGCCGCTTGCAGCCGTGGACCAAGCTTCTTCAGCACAGCTCGCACCACCCTCGCCCCGCGGAATTGCCACGGCCCAAAGGCACCATCTCCTAAGCGAATCCCATCAGTCAAACGTGCCGAAAGCTCTACGGCATTGAAACATCTGCACCTACCTAGGCCACATTCCTTTCGCTGTAACCTCGACGCGTCATTCTCCTCCAGGCCGAGTATCCCATGAAGGCATCGGAGGTGCAGTAGGGCACATAAACCAGGTTATGACCGTGCAGCGGTGACCGGTCACTTCGGTCGTAAATACCTGTCCTTGGCCAAATGAATGAAGTGAAGCAAGGCTATCAGACCTCATGAGAGCCCGCGTAAAGAAGTCCACTGCAACGCTTTTGTTCTCACGCGAGCAGTCATGCAAGCCTGCTCTGTCAGGCTCTCCTACAAATGCCCGCAGGGTCCAGACAACTGGCATAAATAGGTCTGACAGCATGAATTTGTTTGGCTGATACTCATTTGCATGATGTTTGGCTGTTGTCTGGGCAAGAACTGTTTGAGGCCAGTGTTTCCTTCCTCTTGTCAGCTTGCATCAACATCACATGTTGCGAACCATGTCCATGATGCTTCCCATGGCATAGCGAAAAAACCAGCTGCAGGACCTCCTCCGGAAAGCTTCGGCTTGAGCTCCGAAAAAGCTTCAGGACAGTGTGCCGTAGCACATTGCAAGGCTGGGCCGAAAGATTGATCTTCCATATACCCCCCCTCGTGCAGTGGCCTTTGTGGATGCGAGGTCTCACCAAAGCAGCTGCCACCAAAGACCAAGAGGGTCTCACCTGCTTAAATTTGACTTACTAATTAAGGAAGGGGATGGGGTGAGCAGTCGGCAGTGTCAAAAATGGATACCATTGGATACTGACAGGGTCGCCTGAAAAGGACTACCAATTGCATCAGTCGCATTTGAGAATGCGAGTTCTGTAAAAGCAATCCGCCCTAACTTCATCAAAAGGAAAGCACTCTCCACCCCTGCGGCCTTCCCCTACCAAAGCGGCCCCAAAGTTCCCTGACCAAACCGGTGCATTCTGCGTGCAAACCCGGCGCCACCGGGGCTTCCGCAGGTTCAGCGCGTACAAACCCATCTTCCACGCACCGGAAGCATCGGGCTTTTGACGCGCCAGCACCAGAATTCCACTCGCAATACCAAAGCTACCGCTGTTGGCCGTGAGGAAGGACCGGTGAGGTAGGACCTCGAGGGGGGAGTGAATTTTGATGGCTTGGTTTAAGAACATTGGGTTGGTCCTGGTAAACCATGGTGCTGGGCTGAAAAACCAGACATGTGGGAAGTTTCAGATTGCCGATGACCTGGAAGGGCTGCTGCCGCGCACGAGTGCCCACGAAGAGAGGCGGCCCCTCTATCCGCACTTCCCTCCACACCGGCGCGGGACACCTCAAATGCAATGTCCACACATCACGGAAGCTTCGCACACCGTTGGTCCCACCATAGACGATCATGACGCCATCGGTGATCACCGCAGAATGCTGCGCTCGTGGGCCAGGTCCCTTGCCTTTCGTTGGTGTCAGTTTCCAGTAGGGGAGCAGCAGATCGTGCATGTAAAGGTGATCGAAAAAACTATATGGACCTCCAACGCAACATTGGCCACCAAAGAGGTAGACCCTGTCGTGACAGTCATCGTAGGCCAAGGAATGATAGCCCCCAGGCATGGGCACATGCTGCAGGCCACTGTTGGGGATAAAGAACTTCCCCTTGTTGGGGCAGAAATGCCAGGCATCCTGCAGATTATCTTTGCTATCAAAGCCACCACACATCAAGAGCACTTCTTTCTTTGCTCGTCCCCTCCTGGGTGGGAATCGCGCTGGCAAGAGACAGTTTGAGTGTCCCCAGCGCCATGAGGGTGCATAGCTGCCAGCTGAAGGTGTGTGGTCCTCCCACGTCATCTTTCGAAGGTCCATGCCAAGCAAGGAGATCTTTGTGGAGGTTGGTGTCCCTCTGTCCCCACCAAGGCACCATAGCCTGTGACCGGCTGCCACCAGGCAATGTCCATTGATGGAGCCAAGTTGGCACTCTGAGTCTGACTCTACTGGAGTCCAATCAAAGGCCCTGAAGTGGATGTAGTCTTTCGAATCCGACACACTTTGGTGAGCGGCCTTGCCTTTGGCTTTGGCCTTGCCCTTTGGCACCTGCTTGCCCATCGCTCATGTTGAGCCAAGAAAGAGCCGAGCTGCGGCATTGAGAATCTCCGATGTTGCAGGTATTCATTCACATGTCATGGCGTGGCAATGAAAACAAGAACATCATCAACCATTGGACCAAGTACCAGGGACCAGGGAGTGAAGCTGCGCAAATCAAGAACTCAAATAATCTGAACCAACCAGCCCTGACCGTCCGCCATTCTGCCAAGGCTCTTGCCACATGTTTCAGGATAGTCCTGCAAATATGCAAAACTGCATAAAATATTCTACGGGAAGATATGTGCGATCAATTCTAGTTGATGGCCCCTGATGGCCTAGCCCATCTTGATTATTAATTGAGGGGTATGCAGCATCTCTAGAACCTCTTGATTTTTTTCCACGGACCTTTCCCTAGCTTGATCCAAGGCACAGCCGGGGAATGCTGGGGAAAATCCCAATTAATTTTCTTTATCCAACATCTTCTCCAAGCATGAATTTCTACGACATTCTCGGAGGACAATTTCATTAATTGCGCAAAATTAATTGAGTAGGGCCCCCCCCGATTAATTCCACCTAGCGGAGGGTACATCTTAAAATCGTGCTCTCATCCAGCCAAGCTCGTCAATGACGCTTCTGAAACCTGTAACCTTGATCATTCCTGCTTGCATACTCATGCACGATCTGAATTTCACCCAGCTCCCGCTGATGGCCTTGTTGGACATGAAGCAAGGCATGCTTTGATTGGAGCTGTTGCATGGGTGGTTTGGGAAGAGATGCCCGTCAAAGCGCCCCTGGCAGCTGGCAGCATCATAGCACCAGCCACCACCAGCTAAATACACCAGCCAATCAGGGCTGGACGTGTTCTCCTGCAAGGCCGGCAGGACAAGAGTGGTCGGTGCTGACATGCTACACTTTAGCCAGCACGCCCACCCAAATGGCACATACCCCCAAAGAATAGTGCACCTGGAGGTAGAACGATGCGGAGCTCCCATCATTGCACACAGCCAGCGCGTCCACCTCCAAATAATTCTAGCTTCTAACCCATTCCATGACAGAAACCCAGCACAAACCTTCAAACATCTAATAATCTCCCTCTCTCTCTCCCTCTCTCTCTCTCTCTAAGGGCGAGCGCCTCCGCAAGGCTTTCTCTCCGCAACCAACTGGTTGCGCCAGCATCATTGCAGCTCCAGCCATGAGCAGTGGAGATGAGCAGGGCCAACCTGCAACACCATACAAGCTCCCCCCCGAATCTCTTCAGATTGAAATGGTCTCGCCTCAGCATCACCTCAATGGATGGACCAAGCCCCGCTGGACTTCGACCGTCTGCAGCAACGGGAGCACCTAGGAGTCAGAAGCCAGCTTACAGTACTTGAGGTGGCATATGAGGATGAAAGCATGTTATGTCTTCCAGTGTGCCACCATGCGACGTTCCTCACCAACTCGACAGCCCCAGCGGCCAGTGCCAATGCAAGACCAGCCAAGGTATACGAGAGGAAAGACAGGCCCATGCAACGTCACAGAAAGTGTGACTCGATTGACTCTTTCAGTTGGAGATCTGGCTGTTAGTTGTCGCAGCTGGCAACATAAGCTTGGAAAAGGTTGGACTATGCATGACTATGACTATGCCTATGTCAGTGTTTAATCACCAGTAGTGCAGCCCTGAGCCACAAAGCTGACCCCAATTGGCGTCGTGTCAGGTCAGACTGGTGACTCTTCGGCTCCGGCCTTAGGACATACCTACTTGCGGCCTCCAACCTAGCGATGGTCCACTTGCGCTGCTCCTGGGCGGCACCGGGGCGTCGCCCGGCCGGAAGGACCAAACCATGTCGCCACCCACCGAGGCGCCGAACCACCTGGGAGCGCATGGCGCCCGGCTCGGGTCTGACGGTCTGAAGGTGTCAAAACATCAAAGCTGCAAGCTATGTCAAGCTATGCCAAGCTTCAAAGATGTTCAGTTATAAGTTATACACTTATTCTATCTTATTTGGGGTTCTCCGAATGATCCTTGTGCTCTTGGACAACAAAATCACACATTGTCACATAGTTCGAGATGCTGCAAGCTTTTATTCGTGGTTGGCTGTTTGATGCTGGTTGTTTTGGGCTGTTTGCACTGCAAGGAAGGACTGCGCAAACATTCTTCTCATCTCCTACGTTTCTTCTTCTATTTTGTGAGCATTTCCCCAGCTGGGGCCCCCCAGCCAGCCACACATACTGGGGCCATCCCGGTGGTCCCAAAAGTAGATCTGCACTTCCTACAGAGCTCAGCGACATGAGCCACGCGAGCACATACACGAGCACGAGCCACAGCCTGTGCACCAGGCTTGTCGAGCTTCCGGTATGCTGGTCCTAGGTTGGCCATGGGTTCCGTAGCTGTGGAAAAAGAGGCTGCCAGCGAAACACTGTGAGTCTAGGTGTCGCCTCTTGCTTGCCAATCAAAGCAGAATGCTCTCCGTGGTCTTTAACCCCAAAATGATGGCTTGTGCTTTTACAATGAGGGAAGATCTCTCTCTCCCAGTACTGCATCTTGGTCACTACCGTGGTTGCTACCAAACTTCACGTATTCGCCGCCTCAGATAGACCGAGCACTTATGGACGACATTTGCTCGAATTGCACCCTTCTTCACAGGTCTTGACCTACTTGGGATGGTGGTGTCAGACTGATCTCGCAAACCACCAAATGTTTCGCACCGTCCCTGCTAAACGCCTTCTTTGCAGGAGAAGGCACGGATGATAGCGCCAACGGTCTCGTGCCTGCAACCAGCGACGACCTTGGCCATGGACACAACCCTCTCTGCAAGACACAACCCTCTCTACGGCCAAGATGCAATCTCTGTTTGGCCCTTCCCTTTGCCTTTGCTGAAGCCCTGCATGCAAAGCGTGCTCAGACTCTTCACTCTTCTTCTGCCCTTCTCAACCCTACGCCCGGTACACAAAATCATAGTGCATCGCAGGCGATGATCCAAACAAAGACGGCCATGCCGAAGGCTGTAGGGTTGCCATGTTGGATTTGGGCAAAACACACGGCCTTGTCAAAGCCTTTCTCGAAGCCTTTCTGGCCCTTCATGCCTCCTTTCTCACCTCCCTTGCCCTGATAAAACAGCGAGGCCGAAGTAAGACGATCAACCAGTTGCAACCCCACAGCTGGCCAAGCAAAAGCAAGAACAGCGCTGGAAGGAGAATCCCCGAATTCGTCTGCAAAACATCTCAGCACACCTTCGTGTCCCCCTTCATGCCCTTCATCCCTTTCCCACCATGCCTCAGACCCAAGGGCTGAGTCAAAAGACACGCAATACATCTTGGAAAGAAAAAGAGCCTGGCTTGGTTTGTCTCTTCACGCCAAGCAACATTCCAAAACCTTGCGGCCATTCGCCTTGGCATGCATCCCTTTGCTTCAATCGTCCCATGTACCATAGGCAAAGCCCCACGTGGTCACTTGTCAGTTGGTCCGGATGCCCCGTGGGCACACTTGGAACCCGACCTTTCTTGCCCTTTCCAGGGCCCTTCATCATCTTGCTGAAAGCTGTTGCTGGTGGAAGTCACTAGAAACACCTTTTCAAAGTCTGCTGCATGTGCTGGCCTGACTTGCACTTTTTTGTACTGATCTATATCAAATTTTCGAGTATTTACTTCAATCTTGCATCCAGTTTCACCAGTTGAGTCAGTGGTGTTGTCCAAAGACATCGTCAAGTTACGTTGATCAGTAAGAACCTGGCTGTCAATAATATCCCTATTGATGCCTTTTTGTTACGGTTGCCGAGCCGAGCGAGCCGACCGTAGGGAGCTCGCAATTGTCTTCGCAAGTGTTTAACCTAGACTCAACACAGTGACAAGGTGCCTGTACAGAGTTAATAATGAGGGGCCTCCAGACTGCAATTGAAGCTCCATTGCCTGCCTTTCTTGGGCCTGCACCTGAACATACTCACTCTTTGCTGCCTGTTTCAGCCTGCACGCGAACAGGGCAACTAAGCAGCTGGTAGAGATGGAGGGTCCAGCTCTGAGTCCAGGGCAGCTGGTAGAGATCAGAGCTTCCGCCAAAGTCCTGTGGAAGAAGCACCCAATCGCCAGGCCCCACTCACAACCAGTGGTTCGAGAGTGCCCCGGTCCTCGGGATTCTGACTACAAACACCCTATTGGCCCTATTGCTTGCTAAAGACTGTCTCAGAGTGACCAATACGACGTCCGTCCGCAAGCAGCTTCACAGCAGCCGCTTGCACATCACGTCCTCCGCCTGGAAGAGAGGCACCGAGGCACCGAGAACAAAACAAACTTCACAAACCGCGCCAAGTCAGGAACTGCCCAGTCAGAGGTATGCTCGGTCCTACAAAGCATGCAGCTTTGGTGGTTCTAGCTCTTTTTTTCCCTAGCCAGTGTGTTCTCGTGCACGAGTCTGTACAAACCCATCTTGGCTAGAATTCGAGCAAGTAACTCTGTACAGGGTCCGGCAGGTCCATCCCTGCCAAGGCCGCGGAGCGTAAGAAGCATTGTAGCCACAGGCCCATGCAATCTGACTCCACCTTCCGCAACAGCTTGCTGCTAGGGGCAAAGCGTCCCAACTTCGCGCCTCGCGCCAAAAGCATTTTGATGCAGCACTTATGCTCATCCTTGAGCACAAAGCCAGGGTAACGACGATCGAAGATTTCATGGCCAAGCACCTGGACCTGCTGGCTGCACAGGAGCCACCGCACTTGGCTAGTGCTTCCTGACAGCGCAGCTTGTCGCACCTGCACGAAACTTGGAGCGGAAGGAGTCGCCGGCAGAAGTTCTGATTCCAGAACTTGGGTCATCCAGCCCGGACCTGCAGCTGCTATGGACACCTCTGCCACTAAGTCGTCAGTCACATCATGTGCTTCATGCACTTCAAGGGGCTCTGCACCACTGACATCTCTAGCAGCATCCAAAGCACGGTGAATTGGCTTCGAGAAGGGCAGCCATCGTGGTACCGGCTTGGTACAGTGCTTGTCAAAAAACCAGCCACCACTATGGCAGCTTACCTGGCGTATTTTCCCAGTCCGAAGGTTCCGCTGCTGCATCTTCAGCACGTTTACTTCATAGCTCTCACCATTTGGAGCTGTAAACCACACGCGAGGGCCTTCTTGCAGAGTCTCACCAACAGGCGCTCTTGCAGCTGGATAGCGGTAGGGTTTTCTCCTCTCCATGGCCATTTCCCACGATTGGGAAAATAATGAAGTAACAATTATTGCTATTATATATATATATATATGTATATAAGTTAGTCCAACTTACGGGCACAAAGGCTGCAATCGATCAATACTGTCGCCAGTCTATATATATATATATACAGGCTGATACTTTCAGAAACGCTAGGCCGCTAGGCCTTCAATAACTCCCAAGACCAACGCCAGCGGTTACTGCATTATGACAGCCAGCACCTAGTCGAAGGGAAGCTTCAACCATGCACGTCGCCCCACTCTAAATCACGAAGCACACGCCTTCAAATGCCTTTCTTGCCTCAACTCCAAACCAAGATGCTCAACATGCAGCAATCCATGTTCAAAAAATGTTAGCTACTTGACGGTTGTCACAGCTGCCGGTGAGCATGAAGAGAAGATCTGTACATTGCGACCCTGAGTGTCCAGCCAACCGTGCGATCTGGAGCTGATCGGGCACACTCATGTGAGGCACGTCCTCCCTGAGCAGGAGGTTTTACATGTTTGGATGCAAATATTGCTTTGATGTTTCGAGTGGTCATCTTCTTGTAATGCATGGTCCGAGCTCCCCCACGTCAAGGCCAATGCTGGGGCCAACGCCCTAAGCAGTACTCCAGCTGACGGAGGCCTTGGCTCAGTCTCCACACTGTCGTTGAATGCAGTACCACCACTCAAGCACTTGAGCAAAGGTTCGTGTTTGCTTCCATATTTGTTGAAAAGAAGGCGTTGCGCAAACGGCTTGTGCCGACATCAACCCGCGCATGTCCCCGTCCCACCTGTTTTCAAGCCCTGCCGTTTCAAACAAGTGAGCCAAGGTTGGTGCAGCTGAATTGCATCTGCTTCCTGGCATTACATGGCGTGTCATACAGCCAGTGCCTCTAGAAGGTAGGTGAACCGCTGGCATCTAACGTACAAAAGTATGCCTCTAAGATTCAACAGCTCAAAAGAAAAAGCAGAAGGCCTGTGATTAAGAACTGATCTCCCTGGAAAATAAAGGTCAACCTTTTCCACTTGTTCTTAAGTGAAGAAACCAAAGCCCAAAAAACGGGCTATATAAAGGTTAGTTATCCACTGACTTGGTAGGAGAACCTTGCAGTGTGCCGCGCGGTTGGTTAGAGCTCCACTAAATTGCATTATCCATGCTTGGAGCATCTTGCCTCTGATTCAGAGCTTCCCATGCTTGTGAATGACAAGATCGAGGACACGTCATCATGCGCAGCATCCTCTTGCCGCCTGACAGGATTTTGTGGCGAATGCCTAACATGGCAACGACCTGATCAATGAGTGCCCACCAGAATGGTTCAAGGAGGAGCCAATCCAACCCAAAGTCCTAAGTACTCTTAGGATCTGAGACCCCAAACACAGTAAAAAGGATCTGAGCATCTGAAGAATGTGTTGAGACTTGCGGTTCCGGGCTGGCCTTCCTGGCTGCGCAGGGATAGGGAGGTCTGCAACCACACCTGCTTAGAGCCACGGCTGATTTCACTGGGCGACCCTACATGGAGAATCACGTGGTTCAAACGGCAATGGTGCTCCACAAAAACATATATGGCCGAACCTTTGGTGGAACCACGCGGTCTGAGCAGTCTTTGCGCAGCTGATTTCAGCTGGCATGGTACACCTACAGCTGCTTCAGTGTGCACTGTGCGCATCAATTCTTCTCCTTGTGGCAGACAAAATGTGGTTCAGATTCCAAACAGAACTGATGCACACATCAAATCCAAAAAACTGGCCGGTGGCCCAATGGATTGGTCCTTCTCCTTCTTCTCCTTCTTTTCTTTCTTCTCTTTCTTTGACTTCAGAAGGCCAAGGTGGCGCTTCTCCATAGCGCGCTTGATCTTCATGGACATATTGAAAGCGCCTTTCTCTTTCAGGCGGTTGTAGCTCTTCAGCAACTTCCTGGGAGCTCCCAGCATCGCAGGAATTGGTGTCTTCCTTTGATTATGGAGAACGACTACCAGACTACCATAAACTGCATCAAAATTACGACTCCTTACACATCAACATTGCATCTGAGTTTCTTGTGGTCTTCAAGCTGCTTCACCCCGTGCCTACCAAGTGGCAACCACATGATGAAAAAACTGGAGTGTGACTGGGATATCGAGTGAGCAGCGTTCAGGCGATCAACCCATGCAGCCGAACAATATACCCACACTTGCTTGAGACAAACGCCATACCAGGCCAAGGTGCTCAACGCAGAATCTGATTGCAATGGCGCTGTCCGGTTTCTCCTCCAGCAGGGACTCGTAAAATGCCCGAGTCGGGTCCGCTACCGGTGGCGTCAAGTGCTTCCTAGGCTCAGGCTGGATAGAGGAAGGACAAGGCAATACTAATAAACAATGTTGCAGCAGTGAAGGTCTGTGGAACTATCATTGTATATGTGCAAGGCACTATACACCGTATAGTGTATACACACGTATAGTATATATATAATACGTGCTTTCATGGAATGTGTGTGCTTTCCATGAAAAAGTTGATTTGATTGACAAGGGTCTGTCCCTCTTTGAAGAGCTTGCGCAAATCGAGCCTCTTCTTCTTGCTAGGGCTGGCCTGACACTTAGGGAGTCATGCTAGTCTGCTAGTCCTCAACTACCACAAGTCTTGATCGTCCTTTCACATATCTTGGCACCTCCATCTTCTGCACCGACTCCCAGTCGTGCAAAATTCCCCAGACCTGGAGCCCAACCTTTTGAACCAGAGGGGCGCGGCGAAGTTGTGGAGTTGCTAAGGTTGTTTCTCTTCAATGCTATTAGGTTGGAGGCCACTTCTATTACTAGCGATGGCCTCCAACCTACTAGCGATGGCCTCCAACCGAATAGCGATGGCCTCAACCGAATAGCGATGGCCTCCAACCTAATAGC